TATTGATGGTGCTAATCAGGTATGTAGAGCATTGCACCTCTCCCACAGCTTCTCCATCAAGTGTGATTTGGTTGGTGCCCACGGTCTGTCCTCACGCAATCCGAAGTGTTGATCTCACAGTTGGACGTCTACTGAAGCATCCATCCGGTTCAACAACACTCTGTTGAAATCATTTGCTGGTAGTGACTGTAGTATGATGCCTCACCTATTCTCGCACTTGCTGAAATCTACTCTCTTTGTTATCTTGATGAGATGTGCTTCCTTGTAGTCTCCTGATTCACATTCTTCACTTTATTTTGTTTGGTATTTGTTATTCCTGTCTTCCTACTCTTCTTTTCTTGAATGTTGATCAGAGGATCTATAGAGATTCATTGTTGATGATGGTGCTTCTTGGAATTCATCATCCAACGGACTTCACTTACTTCGGTCACCTCCAAGTTGTATTTTTATGATCTCAACTAGAATGTCGGGTTGTGAGTGAGCTCCATGAGCATTTGTCAATTGTTGTTTCGGTTGTCAGAGTGGGTATCGGTCTCGTGATTTCCGAAGAGTCTGGTCTTTAACCATGAGGCGTCCTAACTGTTCTAAATGAAGAAGCTGCCAATTCTAGATTTGGTTTTATATGATTTATGTGGTTTATATGATTTTCTTCTGCTGAGCAATGTTTTATCAATGTTCGTTTCTACGGTATGTGGCTGCTAATCACACACTCGACCCTCCTCCATTATTCTGGTTTGGGATCGACAGTGACTCTAAATGGGATGCAGTTGGAGTTGTCCTCTGTTTAATTTATTAAAATCCAGAAGTCATTTAGTGAAGATTCTTCTGCAATTCATCTTCATTCTTCTATTGTTATTTATTAGATTTGCAGATTTTAATTTAGAAGAAGAACAATGTACAAGATTTATGCGCAATAAGCATTCCGGTACTAATCATATATCACATCATTAAATAAACTAACTTCGAATTACGTTTGGTAAAAAGAAAAAAATATGACACTGTTATTGTTTATTTTTCACATTTATTTTACAGAGAAAACAGACTAATAGTTCACTTACGAATACTTTTGACTCATGATATTGAGTTAATTAGAGGAAGCTATGTGTTCATTTTACAAACCAATGCATTGATGGTACAATCTCAGTATTTCTATCCTTTCACAAATTAAATTTGAGTTTACGACGTTCATGTATGAGTTAAGCGATCTCATTGATAACTATTACTTACTTACTTATCTTCTTACTTACTTACTTAATTAATTAATTAATTACACCTGTTACTCCCAATAGAGCATATGCTGCCTATCAGTATTCTCCAACCCGCTATGTTCTGGGCCTTCCTTTCCATTTCTGTCAAATTTTTGTTCATTTTTCTTATGTTTGTCTCCACGTTTTGGCGTAATGTGTTCTTTGGTCTTCCTCTCCCTCTTTGGCCTTAAAGATTCCATGTGAGCGCTTGACTTGTGACGCAGTTCGGGGCTTTCCTCAATGTGTGTCCTATCCAATTCCAGCGCTTCTTCCTGGTTTCTTTCTCCGCTGGGATCTAGTTTGTTCTCTCCCACAGTAGGTTAATAAACACCTTTATGTTCTGAATGATGGCTTTCGTAGTTCTCCAGGTTTCCGCCCCATACAATAGAACTGCCTTGACTTTTGTATTGAAAATTCTGACTTTGGTGTTGGTTGACAATTGTTTTGAGTTCCAGATATTATTCAGTCGTAGATATGCTATTCTTGCTTTGCCGATCCACACCTTCACATCTGTATCAGATCAACCCTCTTCATCAATGATGCTGCCCAGATATGTAAAGGCTTTTACATCTTCCAAAGCTTCTCCATCGAGTGTGATTCAATTAGTGCATGCTATGCTGTATCGGAGAATCTTGCTTTTTCCTTTGTGTATGTTGAGACCTACTGCTGTTGAGGCTGCTGATACACTGGTCGTCTCCTGCATTTGTTGTTGCGTTTGCGATAGAGGATCCAGATCATCTGCGAAGGCTAGATTGTCCAGCTGCATTCTAGATGTCCACCGTATCCCGTGCTCCCCTTCAGATGTTGACGTCTTCGTGATCAAGCCAACCACCAGGAGAAAGAGGAAAGGGTGAGAGTAAGCAACCTTGCCTGACACCGGTCTTTACTTCGAACGAGTCTGTCAGGTGTCCTTCATGCACGATTTTGCAGTCTAATCCATCATAAGAATTCCGTATGATATTGACTATCTTCTCAGGTACGCCGCAGTGTTGGAGAAGCTTCCATATTGTTGTCCTGTCCACGCTATCAAATGGTTTCTCGTAGTCAATGAAGTTGATGTAGAGTGATGACTTCTATTCAACTGATTGCTCCTTAATGATCCGTAGTGTTGCCCCTGTAGTTATCACACTTGCTCGTATCTTGATCAGATGTTCTTTCTTCCATTCTGTTGGTACTTGTTCTTCCTTCCAAATATTCTCGAAGAGAATGTGGAGTATCTTTGCAGTTACTGTTACATCTGCTTTCAGTGCCTCTGCTGAGATGTTGTCTGGTCCAGCTGTCTTGTCGCTCTTGATTTGTCTGATTGCCATGCTGATCTCTTCAACTGTTGATGATTGGGAGGTCCGTGGTTGCTACTTCGATGTTAAGCGGGTTCTTTTAAGTGTTATACACACCTGTTTCGTTGTTCTTCAATGTTAGTGATTACCTTGCCTTCCTTGCTTTCCACTGGTCGTTCTGGTTTACGGTAATTTCCAGACAGTTTCTTTTTGTCTTATGTTTCCTTCTCTTGCAGCCTCTAAATCTCCCACATATTTACGTTTGTCGGTTCTGATACTCCTCTTCACTTGTTTGTTTGGTTCTGTGTATTCAGCTTGTGCCTTGGCTTTTTCTGCTCTTGTTCGGCTGGTATTGATTGCTGCTTTCTTGTTCCTCCTTTCTTGAATCTTATCCAGTGTATCAACAGTGATCCATTCCTTGTGATGATGCTCCTCGTGGCCCGTAACCTCATGACATGTTGAAGTGATTGCCTCTTTGATCCCTTTCCAGTTGCTCTCCATAGCAGTTCCTTCTCCATTGAGTAGATCATGAAAGACCTGGAACTTATTGCTGAGAGCACTCTTGAATTTATTGAGTTTGTCAGTATCCTGGAGTAAGCCGTATTGAACCTTTGTGATGTTGTCCGCCTCGTTGTCCAGTGCTTCTTGAGTTTCAATTTCATCTTGGCGACCAGCAAGTGATGGTCTGATGCTATATCAGCTCCTCTCTTGGTTCTCACGTCCTCTATAGTCCTCCTGAACGTTTTGTTCATGCAGATATGGTCGATTTGGTTTTGTGTAGTGTGATCCGGTGAAGTCCATATGCTTTTGTGAATGCGTTTATGTGGGAATATGGTGCCGTCCTTGACCAGTTTATTGAAGGCACATAGGTTTGCAAATCTCTCACCATTTTCGTTCCTTTCTCCCAATCCGTGTCGTCCCATGATGTCTTCATATCCAGTGTTGTCCGTTCCAACCTTGGCATTGAAGTCTCCTATCAGAATGGTCAATCCTTTGTTGGGCACATCTCGACGACTAACTGCAGCTTATCGTAGAATTGACCTTTAACGTCTTCATTGTAGTCGTTGGTAGGCATATAGCATTGGCTGACGTTCATTGAAATGCCCTCTTTCTTTGTTTTGTAGGAGGCTTTGATGATCCTTGGTCTATGAAATTCCTATCCTATAAGTGTATTTTGTACTTGTTTTGATAACATCAACGCAACTCGTTGTGTATGTGGGGGTTTTTCTTCTTCATGGCCAGAGTATAACAGAGGCTCCTTTGAAGGTAGTCGTTTTTGTCCAATGTGTTTCACTGGTCCCAAGCACCTCTAGGTTGTATCCCTTCATTTCTGCAGTAATTTGGAAGACTCTGCCAGTCTCCCACATTGTACGAGTATTCCATGTACCTAAATAAATGGTTGCTCTGGTTGTCAGAAGGGGCATCAGCCTCGTGACTACCGAAGGAGCTCGGCTTCCATTATGAGACGTCATAACTCGTCTAAATGAATACTTGACTCCCAGGGCAGAGTTTAAAAGGTTTTCATAATTTTTTCTGGTTAGCAATTTTTTAGCGAGTTAGTTTCTACGGGATGGGGTCGCTAACCCCATGTCCAACCCTCCTCTTTTATCCAGGCTTGGAACTGGCAGTAGCCCCAGAGGGACTCCAGGCGGAGTTGATTACTAAAAATGGTGCATAATAATTAGAAAATAAATGTTAACAACATTCAAGTAGCATTAAATCCTGATGGCTATGACAAGATATAAACTTTGTGGAATATATTTTTCTAAGAAATTGACTACAGTTTTCATATTGACTATGTTGTTCTTTCAAATACCATCAATTATTCTGTATCATAATTACACAACCAACAATTCAGTGGGAGAGGGATTTTTCAGTAGTGATGTTTTTTTTCACATGAAAATGTTGAGCATATGTACGTTCTCTGTCAACTGCCTCCAATCATCACCTTAGTCGAAGTGGATTGGCACTGAAATCTATCATGATTTTGAGTTGTTGTATTTGATCATTATTCATGTGAAGGTTATACTTTATTTTGATCAGCAGAACTCATTTTGCTTTTACTGTGGTTGTTAGATTTAATACCATCCACTTTATATATACTCATAGTAAGTTTATGGACACTTTCGATCCTCGTATTTTCAAAATCAGTATGTGGATAACAATTTGAGAAAAAGAATGTGATATTGATTAACAGGAAATTGATTTATTTGTGTAACTTTTTAAGCATTTCTTATTCTATCAGTTTGCATAAGTGTTTCCAGCAGTTTATGATATGAAATTTATTTATTTAACATATTTGCGAGGTAAACATTTCACTTTCTTAGTGTCTTTTTATATGTTAAAGAAAGATTGTTAGCATAGTAATTTGATTATTATCAGATTACTATACTATGGTGAAACTCATTTAAAATTAATTTGTAAAACGTATAAAGCATTAGACAAAATTTAGTGCTTATATACTTTCTGTTATATATAACGACATTACTATATTGTAATTCACGTTAACCAGGAATACCGGATGCTAACTGACAAGAGTTTTCATATAAACGATCGCTCGAAAATCCAAGATATCTGTCAAAAGCCAACCCTATTATGACTAAGAAATAAATTGCTTCACATTGTCATCCAATTCGGAAATGTTATTGATTTGGAGTGTACTGATCCCCATTGTATGTTTATGGACGGTTGGCATAATTTTCATGTGGTCATTTGATATTAACGATTCGATTATTACCTATTCACTGTTTGACTCGGTTTGCAAGAATGTCTACTTTAAACAATGTACACAGTCAAGAAGTTCATGGCTTAAATGCATCGGAGATATAAACAGACCGAACAGACAACACAGACGGAACCACACAGATCTAACGTCAAAATGGCCACCGTCTTCTATAGCTGGGTTGTTTGATGATGCGTTGCCAATAATCAATCTTGCTTTACGTGTTCCAGTTGCTAAGAATGCTGAGAATCCTTTCGATAGCCCATACTATCGAAAATATCTACGCCTCACCACAAGAAATGAGGACAACATAATGAGATCCCCGGGTCTCTGGTCATCCGGATACAATTTATTTCCTCAAACATTAGATTTTGACAAAGTGATATACGATTATGAAAAGGGTTTTCCATCAACCACAGTAAGTTATTTTGGTCATTTTTAGATAGGTTACCTTACATACTGGCATCAAAATATATACATGTCTAATACTTACACTCACTCATTTTGAAGGAATTCGAGTAAGGAGTGATTTATTTCACTGGGGACAGAATCACCCTGGCATTTGCCACAAAAGTCTCCTGGGACCTAGTAAATCGCCGTCATCTTCGTACAGAAATGCATTAGTCAGACAAGGTCGAAACCTTGTCTACTTTTTTCCGCGCAATGCGTATTGCACAACTGCCTTGACACTATCGTGAAATATATTTCACATGTGCGTTGTTGTTGAGTACAACTCGTCAGTGGATTGGTAGCATTCTAGTCGCACATTCTATGAGTAACCGAATGGTATAGCTGGAAGACTGCTTCACTGTACTTTCATTACATGTCCAGGTCACAACAAACTTAACACGTCGATTTACATGATCGTATATAGCTACAACATTATTACTTTTTTGTATGCAGAACAAGAACGGACAATCTTAGAAAGATACGAGAAAATTACTATTTATCAGTGAACAATAATGTGAATCTTTTGGTTGCATCTCTTTGTTCGGTGACTATAATGCCTTTTTTCTATTTTCAGTTGCCAATAAACAATCCGGACATATTAGTATTACGACTGCCAAAAAGTATTTGCAACCCATGTGGGAGAGAACGTGTTCCTGACTTAATTGTTGTGATCAAATCCTGTAGCTACTGTTCGAATGAACGGGACCATGCACGAAATACATTTATGCAGAGGCACTTATGGTCGAATATCACTGTCCAGTTCGTCTTTGTTGTGGGTATACCCTATCCAAATGAATCAAACATGTTCACATTTGGTAATTATAAATTTCAACTGAGAAATTCTTGGTGGAGGTTATCGAGGAAGCATGACAGAGATAGATGGACGTTTATTAAACGACTTGCAATGGAAGCAGATTTTCACGAAGACATTTTGGTTGGTTCTTTTCATGATACATATTTTAATCTGACCACAAAACTCATATTTACATTTCGTTGGTTGTCAGCACTTTGCCCGGATTCAGTGCCGTTATTCCTCTTTGTAGATAATGATTATGATTTGGTTCCATGGAATGTGATCAAGTTTTATAGAAATCACACAACAGATTGTTTGAGAGAATTGACTGGCGGGCTTCGACACAAAGTTTCCATTGTTATTAGACCAAGCTATGATGGTAATATAAGTAACGTTTGGGCGGTAATGTTTAAGGAATTCCCATGGGCAAGATATCCTCCCTACTTTTATGGGGCTACCTATATTTTGGGCTCGAATATCGTCAAACGACTAGCAATTGCCAGTGCATTTACGCAGCATATTCGTATTGACGATGCTTACTTGGGTATACTCTTCAACAAACTGAATATTATTCCTCAAAACCTTGACATCATTTCTCTCTCAAGTGGGAGACCTAATATAGAGTCAGGTGCAATCAACGTACCACACTATATAAGTAAACGCATAATCGATTGGAAGGCAGGTAAGCTCAGATCCAATCATAGATAATACAGACGCTTGCTGTTGTCAATATATACTTGTTTCAGTTTTCTTATTCACTTTATTTACCTAGAATATTTGATTATTTGATAAGGCAGCCCATCATTTATTACCAATGCGATCGCCATATCTGCCTGTAAATCATATATTTGGGTTATTTTATTTTAATATTTCGATTATCAACGTAATTATCTGTGAATAATTTTCAGTCGGATGAAATTGAATTTGACTGATTGTCTGATTGGTTTCTTTTCACAAACTAAATTATTTTTAATTATCTTCCTGAAAATATTTTTTTATCTATTTGTAATACTGTATTGATGAACTTAGATGCTGTTCACTCTGCCGATACTTTTCAAATCGTCATATCCCGTGCTATTACAAACATGAAATGTTTTCAATAATTGTTTTATATTGAATATATTTCCCTTAACATTTTTTACTTGTTGACTGGTGCGAGATTATTTTTACTGCATTTCTGTGCTATACGAATGAAATATTTTTCGCTGTTTTCACTTTACTTTCGAGTTGAAAACATAAATTACGAATGATCTACTGGATAGGGATTGATTTCCTTCAATCTTCTGATAATAATTAATGTAGATTTGCTTTTGTCTAATGTATGGTTAATATTTTTAACAATGGCCATGTAAACTGTGTGTTTATTTGAATGTTAGATAATTATTTGCTCACCTGCGATTTGATTTCCAATCGGTTTGCATTGGTGAATATATTTTCTTCTTCTTGGACTTCGGTTACTTATTAGAGATTATATGACGAGGAGTGAAGTAGCAGTGCTGGAGCATTTGCATATTTGAAAGGGATTTCAGAGTTATTTACTTTTCTTTAGTCAGGCTGTTACGCATGCCAAACAAAAGTGACATGCCTTGTAGTAGTTGAAAACCTTTGTTCTTTAAACTGACTTCCAAAAGTTAGATAGGTATTTAATTACTAACACAACTTGCAAGAAAAGCTATACAAAGAATGTTTTTTCATTTTTCAATATTGAAACCAAAATAGATTTATAGGTTTTGTGGTCTATATTTTCAGCCGTGTCCAATTTCCTTTGAACTACTTACAATAAGCGTATGATTAAAAGAATCCACATTTCCGGTCATCAACCCTCATCTATGGGAAATGGACCGAAAAGGTTAATGAGAAACCCTATTCTTAAGCATTTAATCAACGCTAGTCACCAAATTGATAAATAAGTAGCTTTAAATGTTATCGATCGTAAACTATCCAATTTTTCCCATATTTAAAGATTCTCTCATGGTAAAATAGAGAAAGGGAATGTCGAAAAGACGTTTCCACTAACCTACAGACTACTTTTCCAATTGTCCTATCATTAACTCATAATTAGCGTTTTGAATAGCAATAAACTCAAATTGATACCGTTAATTTATTCGAAATCATTTAATTTATATTAATTTTATATTCACTCATGAAACATGTATATTAATGTAGAGCGTCTAATTTATAAGAAATATTAGTTTTGCTCATTTCGTAATTATAATGGTCTCGTTGTGTTTCAAAAACGAATAAATTATCCTCGAGTTCAGATCATGTAAAGTTTGTATAACAGTCGATTCTTATTGAAGCTATTATACTTTTATTCTATAAACTGATTTACAGCCATACAATTCTAGTCATTTTGATATTATGTAACATCATAAATGTATTACTTTTAGCCTGGTAGAATTTCAACAATCTTAGAGCATAGAATGAAATAACAACTAATTTCTATACTTTATGTTGTTAGTAGTTTGAACAAAATTGTCTGACGCTCTTAAAAACAGTGCCAGAAATGTTCAAATATGTGTCTGCAGTATTTCAGCGTCTTCATTCGGTAAATTTATAAATGAGAGTTATGTCTAAGAGATTTGTGAAGTCAATATATTAACAGCAATTTATTCGTCTACCGTGTAAACAATAGTTATCCTTCTGTATACTATTTTACTGGTATTCCTCTTCTTTACTATTTCCAAATAATGTTTTAGTGATTTTGACATTCAATGGGGACTTGAACTGTTGAATGATCCCAAAATAAACCAGAGGAGATATTTTCTTGTCTCATTTCATTCACTTGTTAGTAGTTTTACTTTCTCGTACCATCCAAATAAATTAAAACTAACATCGTTTTAAGTTTCCATATTTTATATCTTTGAAAAAACACTTCCATTTCAGTCCCCTGTTACTGCATCCATTCTTCTACCAGAATATAAAATTTTTATACATCACTGGTTTCAAATAATAAAGGGCGTTTGCAAAGATAGAAAGTTCGCTCTCCGGGTTTGCTGACCACATTTTTACATCACCCGTATCATGCCAAGAAAAGTATTGATTGTATGCAGTATTGTTATTATCAAGATACATTAAGCATTTGGAAACTTTTCTCGAATTTTCAAACTGATCCATATGAATGAAAGAATAAGATGGTGAAATTTTGGAATGTTCCTTAATTTAGGCACCCAAAACTATGGGTAATATGTTAGTCCTGAAAGTTCATTGATACATAGAGTTTGTTAAACGTAGTAGAATACAAACATTATATTTTTGAGTTGAATGATTTAAAGTAATTAACTTCGCTGTAAGATATTTTTGATGAATGATGGAAGTTGTTAGTCTCTACTCTTTGCAGATTACTTTTATAAGTTCTAGTGTAGAATACAAAAGTTATCCGATTATTTTTTTAGTGGTTCTTCAATTGGTATCAGACACTGGATCTACTACGAAATGTAACAGTGTGCTGTTGGCTGTAATGTATGACACTCGATTTCCATTTTCAGTGATTCAAATATAACCACGTTATTTTCATTTTTAGTTTATTAAATATGTATTAGTGTTAGAGAAGTAGATCTCTGTGAGTTTCGCTATATAATACGTTTGACAGGAATTTATTAGAAATGACAGAAAATTTGAACTAAATTTACAGACATTCTGTAAGTCGTGAACGATATACATAAATAATAATTTACACTCGAATCATTTGTTACAAAAGAAACATATTGATTCATTTTTCATCGTTTGTTTGAATCTTCTCATCGATGTTTAGGATTGTAATTAATCAGTCTGTTATTGGCATATGTGCATCCTGTGAGGATTGCCTTGATATTGCCTTAAGTCACAAGCGTTATAAGCAAAGATTGATAGTGGCTTGCATTGGAATCTAAGACTCACGTGTTGTACTACTCTGGACTCGTCAAATGGATGCACCTGCATCCTGGGGTTGATGTCTACTCCAGGAATCGAACCCAGTACCGTTCGCTTCAAACGCTATCCCGTTATCCACCTAGCTACTAAGTCCAGATGGCTACTAGCTTGTTTAATGAGGCAGTTTCATTAATTACTGTAAAAATATGGAGATAATGAACAGTAGATGAGAAGAAAACTACAGTCAATAAACCAAAATTTCCGAATCAATAACTTCATTTCAACTAAATGCAACTGATCAACCAAGAAGTGAATAAACTAAACTAACTTATATTTTGTCTATCAAAAATTGTCAACTAATAATATCACTTTAGAAGAAATTAATCATTATTTACTTCCTGAACTATTTGAAGTCTGAATAAAAAACATCAGTTTTATTCGAGTTCCTCACTGTCAACTTTTATCAAATTGAAATATGCTGTCCGACACTGTTTTGACTGCTGTCTTTCATTACCCAAAAACAAATACAGATCATCTATAAAGTGATGATGACAATAATTAATTTGAATCGATTGCTATAATTTAGAATAAAACGTTTTAATGCATACATAGAGAAATTACTTCTTTAAACACTAAGATCAAAAGTAATCTGTTGTTGATATAACGAGATTTGAGAATATAAAAAGCATGTTTAGCTTAGATGAGATATTCATGACTTGGTATGAAATAAAAGATTCAATAAAATTGTTTAAATTAAATATGCTATTCAACAACATTATTAAACGCTTTTGATAAGATAATTACACAGACCTACCATAAAAACTGAGAGCTCACAACGTACATATTTCAGTAGTAAGCATTCATGCAAGTAAAAATAATTCAGGAAAACTACTGTCACAAACTCAGTAGCATGAAACTGGGGAATATTTTTACTAATTCCTATCTTTTAAAAGGAAATAGGTAGGCGAGTCAACAAATCTTTATAAGAACGCTGCTGGTGAGAATTATGTAAACAGTGAAGACACATCAGATAACCTAACATTTGCTAACACCTGAAAAGAATGAAATGAACTTTACACACCATGGACAGCTGATTTTGAGAGAAGCGATTCTAGTTGTTTCCTTCTTCCTATTATGTGGGGCTTTAAACAAAATATAAATTATTTATAATAATGGTCGAATACAAACTTCAAGTTAGTGTATTTTGGTTAATTGTTTAAATAAAGTAACATAGATCCTCGAGGTCTAAAGTGATTTTATGTACTGTTATAGACTAATTTCAGTCTTAAAAGATCACTCAACTTCACTGAAACATATCATTCTGTTTTGACAGTCAAGTTTCCTCTGAAATGATTAGTCAGAAACTTTGATAAGTTATTTAGAATCATTTTTACTCCATCAATATTTACGAATATCAGCCTACTTAGTTAATCGTTTGAATTGTGAATAGTGAACTTTGTGTTGCCTGAGTTTCATGGTGTCAACTTTTGACAAATTAAAATATGCTGTCCAATTCTGTTTAGCCTGGTGCATTGCATAACCCGTGCACAAACAACGATGATAACTGGTCTTAAGTGATTGTTATGATTTTAAATTTAGCTTTATAACACATCTATTAACAAATGTTGATATGAGTTCAGAAAGATGAAATTCTGAATTGAAAATCCTTTTTCCAATTCTGCATTACAATTTCTGAATTAAAATTAAATTTGAGTTTTATAAAACAGTGTTTGAATATATTCTATTCTCTTTGATTAAATTTTAAAGAGATTGAGTTGAGATTGTAGTGTAGTTAGCAATGCGGAATAATCCTGATCGTCTCTTGTAATCCAGTTACATGTTAGGTTTGTTCTGGCCAAATTAAAGCGGGTATGTCTTACAAGAATGCATATTTATTCATTGACACGAAGTGCTAATTATCCACGCGTTTCCATATTCAATAAGTTTCGCTTCGATCAGTTGTGTAAACAGAATCTACCGATTATTTGTTCTGTTTGAGGCTAGTCCCAGTTTTGTCAAGAACATCACTTTATGAAACTTTATTCCCGAAAACAAAACATTAATAATGTGGCAGTTGTTTCATTTTAACTCTAAACATAATGGTAATAAACCATGAAACGTTTACTGAGTGTTTACAAAGATATGAATCACTTTGACTTGTCATAGATTCCTTGAAAACCAAGAATGTTCATGTTTATTACTAAAAATGGCAGTTGAAACGAATAAAACTAAATATGGCTTTAGCTTACTGAATTTGTTGAAAACTGATCATTATCAGTATAGCGTTGTGAAGATTGTTGATTTTTAATTGATATCAAGAAATGATAGTGGTCTAACAATGATCGGTTCATGACCTCAATGAAAACGGATCAATTTTCTGAATTTCATGTTTTAATATTATGGTGAAAATTCCCGCCGCTTTTAGTTGTGTTGACGATATCGAAACTAATATCTTCGGGATACAATTTTAGTGCAGCTCTGACTCAGGATAATGTGGGTTGCAGAAACTCAGCTTCAAGCTTTTGTGCAGTGATCTCGACATAGTCTAAGCACTTGATATTCAGTCATGAATGAGTTAGTTCATCGTGATGTGATG